TTCCTTCCTTCCTTCCTTCCTTCCTTCCTTCCTTCCTTCCTTCCTTCCTTCCTTCCTTCCTTCCTTCCTTCCTTCCTTCCTTCCCTCCCTCCCTCCCTCCTTTCTTCCCTCCTTCCTTCTCTTTCTTTCTTTCTTTCTTTCTTTCTTTCTTTCTTTCTTTCTTTCTTTCTTTCTTTCTTCTTTCTTTCTTTCTTTCTTTCTTTCTTCCTTCCTTCCTTCCTTCCTTTCTCCAAGCTCCATATAAGTTAATGGTATGATATAACAGCTTCCAAATTTAATTCAATCATAGGTTACATTAACAGAAACTTGGTGTTTAGAACAAAGGTGGAGGGAGTCCTGCTCTATCTGCTCCGATTAGACCGCATCTACTCAGGGCTTCATAAACTTTTTTCAGTACACTCCTTCAGCACTTCTTAAACTGTGAGTCACAACCCCTAGAGTACTGTTTTTACTTCTGTATGCCATGTCTACGTGGTGGCAGCTACATGGCACAGTGTATAGGGCACCAGGCCTGGAGTCAGGAAGACTTAAGTTCAAATCTAGCCTCAGACTCTAACTAGTTATAGGACTCTAGGCAAGTCACTTAACCCTGTTTGCCTGAGTTTCCTCATCTGTAAAATAGTTAGAGAAGGAAATAGCAAACTACTCAAGTATCTTTACCAAGAAAATACCAAATGGAGTCACAGAGAGTCAGGTGTAACTGAATAACAATGATGACTAGTAAGGTATTTGGAGTTAGAAAGGACCATAGAGGCTACTTAATGTAACCTTCCTTATTTAACAGAAGAGGATCTGGTGCCCAAAATGGTTAAATGATTTGATCAGGGTCACACAAGTATTGATTAACAGATCTGGGATTTGACTAATTTTCTTTCCACTGTAGTACCCTGGAAAGAGGCATCAGTAGAGCAGATGGGGTTCAAATTAGGGAAATTTGTAACAAGCAACTAGTAGACCATAAAAGGTCAACTTTATTTACCATACAATTTTACCCAGTACAGGAACCAGTCTCACTACACTTCACTAAAATCTCCTATAATTTGGCAGCTTTTTTGCCCCATCTTGAGTTCTTCACATGCATAGAATAACAGGGATCCACAATATTTTTCTTCATTAATAATTAAGAAATTACTTTTTCTACTATAAAAGACCAATGATGCCTGCAGGGCTTTCTACAACATCCAAGGGAATCTTTCAGAGTTTACTGCATTATAGGAGCCTAGGACTTCTGCTGGCAAACTTCAAAATCCTCCTCCCCAATTTTGAACAGGGAGCTGGAGCTGCTGACTTATAGACTGTGGTAGCTAGGTGGCACAGTGGAGACAGTGCTGGGCCTGGAGTCAGGAAGAACTGAGTTCAAATATGGCCTCAGATACTTACTAGCTATGGGACCCTGGGCAAGACACTAAACCCTGTCTATCTCAGTTTCCTCATCTATAAATGGAACTGGAGAAGGAAATGGCAAATGACTCCAGTATCTCTACCAAGGAAACCCCCCAAAAGAGGTCACAAAGAGATGGATACAACTGAAACAACTAAGCAACAACCATATTCCTTCTGAAGTCTGAACACAAACACTGCAGAGTGTGACTACCACCAAACTCCATCCCCACAAAATAAAGAATGATAGGTTCTTACAGGTGATTAAGCTAATCCCTGAACATGAATTAGGCTCTTCTGTCATTCTTTCAGGCTGTTTTTTTGGGTGGGGCTAGGCAATGGGGTTAAGTGATTTGCCTAGGGTCACACAGCTAGTAAGTGTCAAGTGTCTGAGGTCAAGATTTGAACTCAGATCCTCCTGACTCCAGGGCTGGTGCTCCATCCATTGCACCACCTAGCTGCCCCTTGCATAGCTATTTTTAAGGCCACCAATTCAGTAATGAAAAATTGAGTTCTAATGTCCCTAACCTGTTTCTAATCCCTTCTGGCATGCCTAACTACTAACCCTATAGGATCTGACTCAGGCTTTAGTTCCACAGGGTCATGGGATCATAGATTTAGAATGGGAAAGAGCCTTAGAGGCTATTAAATATATCTCCTCCACTTTACAGATGAGTAAAGTGAGGCCCAGAGAGGCTAAATGACTTACTTGGCCAAGATCACACAGGTAGCATCTGAGTCATAATTCAAAATGACTAACTCCTGACTTTAAACCTCATGCATGATCCACTACACAACACTGCCTTGAATGTTATGCTCATTTTCCCAGAGGATATCAATGTCAAAAATCATGCTTGAGGAAATGTCATTACCAAAATTTTAGTTTCAGGTACTATATGACAGCCTCAATGGATGAGATTCTGAATTTTCCCATAGGGAAAACACTCAAGAAGGTATGTAAGAAAAGCAGTGTGGGAGAGGTCAAGGATAAGAAAGAGGAACCCAAAGTGACAAGAAGCCACAGAACCATGATTAAAACATCATTGTCTGATCTAAGACAATTCTGAAGGACTTATGATAAAAATATTGCTATAAAATTGTGCACATCTTTTGATCCAGTAATACCATTACTAGGTTTGTAACCCAAAGGGATTTTTTAAAGGGGGTGGGGAGAAAGGACCTATTTGTACAAAAATATTTATAGCAGCTCTTTTTGTGGTGGCAAAAAATTGGAAATTGAAGGATGCTCATCAACTGGGGAATAACTGAGCAAGATGTGGTATATCATTGTGATAGAATACTACTGTGTTATAAAAAATGACAAGCAGGGCAATTTCAGAAAAAGCTAGAAAGACTCGCACAAACTGATGCAAAGTGAAGGGAGCAGAACCAGAAGAACATTGTACACAGTAACAGCAAAATTGTACAATGATCAGATGATCAACCAACTATGAATGACTTAGCTAATCTCAGCAACAAAATAACCCAAGACAATTCCAAAGGATTCATGATGAAAAATGGTATTCACATCTAAAGAAAAAAACTGATGGAGTCTGAATGCAGATCAAAGCATATTATTTTTCACTTTTTTGTGGATTTTTTTGGTCTGTATCTTCTTTCACAACATGACTTTTATGGAAATATGTTTTGCATGATTGCACATCAATAACCTACATAAAATTGCTTACCATCTCAGGGAGAGGAAGGAGGGAAGGAGAGAATTTGGAACTCAAAATATTTAAAAAATGAATGTTGAAAATTGTTTTTATAGGTAGTGGGAGGGGGGAATAAAATATTATTTAAAAGAAACCAAGAAAAAAGTCTTGCCTCTGTCACATACTAGACATTGTCCATGGGCAAGTTACTTAATTTCATAACCCAGGCAACTATTTTTTTTAGACAATTGGGGTTAAGTGACTTGCCTAGGGTCACACAGCTAGTAAGTATCAAGTGCTTAGTCTGAGGCCGGATTTGAACTTGGGTCCTCCTGACTTCAGGGCTGGTGCTTTATCCACTATGCTACGTAGCTGCCCCTCCCAGGCAACTTTCAACAATTACAAATTACAGAGCAGATGCTTATCTGAATTTGTGGAGGGAGTTCCCACACTGGGAGCTCCTCACACTAGTGAAATCATAGATTCTCAGCCTTCCTCCCAAATTCTAATTTTTTTTTAAGGGGAGGAATTCAAACTGCAATTCTTATCATGCCCTTCAAAAGCCAAATTGTCCATAAGAGTTGAGACTCTCCCAAAGGGCTTTATTAGACATATCTCCTTTCCTAAGTGGGTAAAGAGATTCTCTAGAGAAATTTACTAACTTCCAGGAGACACCTAATCTCTCATTGGCTCATAGAATTCTTGAAGCGGAATATCTGGATTTTCATTTCTTTCTTGGAAATTAAGACCAAAAAGACTGATCTAGGCAACATGTGAGTGAGCTCTCCTCCTGATGTCCTTGTGTCTACTCTCTAGGAAAGCAGATAATAGGGAACATCACAGATGAGATGCTAGGAAGAAAGTTCAGGGCTGAGAAATTTGAGAAAAATCTCGCCAACTTACAGGAGTAGGGCTCCACTTTCACATCAAAGGTCTGGTTCTTGAATTCCGACTTTGCAACCCCTGTATAGAAGACGATATTGCCAGAGAGATAAGCCGTAGCCGTGTAACGTCTAGCGGTGCCATTCCGGAAAGTGATGGTGACTTTGAAGTCTTTTCCAAGTACAGCCTTTTCTACCTCAAAGTCCATGTCAATATCAGCCTTGAACTGATGGATGCCCTCTGTGTCAAGAGGTTTTTTAGCCCCATACATCAGAGCGGTTTCTAGGGCAAGTCTCTCTTCTTCTTTGCCTAGAGGAAAAGAACCCAAAATAATGAACAGTTATAGAGGCCCAGATATTTATTTAATCAATTTACCCATCTGTCTGGGGGCTGAATTCTGGAAATACACTAGAAGTTTCTCCAAGATGTGTTTCTTTACTGCTATTTTTGGCGTTTGAAAAGTAAGAGACATAAAGCTACTGAAACTTGGCTCTATTCTTCTGAACCAAAGCCTAATCATGAATTTTTGTACCTGGGACAAATACCAAAACATAAAAGCAGGAAAGAGTGAGAAGGGCAACAGGATACCGCCCCATGGAGGGGAGACAGAAACTCTGGGAAAGGTTGCCATTTGGGGAAAGGGAAAGTAGGTAAGGGTAGGGGAGGAATTCAAGTCTTGTAGTTTCTTATTTTAACAAATTATTCTTGTTAATTAGGCATGTAACTTCATTGTTTCTATGCTGCTGATTCTGCTGCTGAAGGACTTTGAGAGCACCCTCTAAACTGGGTGACCTGGAGAAAAGCCCTAGTTACCCCACCCTAGTTAGAACTCTGCTTCTTAATATAGTCTAATTTTCTTCTTCCTGGCTGTACCAGAGAATTCTTAAACGGCTCTTCCTTCCATTTCTCCCTTGGAGACATTACCTTTCTCCTAGGCATGACATCCTCCTTCTCTCTCTATTTATTTGCTCTTCATATGTTACCTATATGTGTACCCCTCCTCCAAAGATGGTATGGCAACCTGTGGGAGAGGGTAGACATGGGACTATGATGTCTTTGTGGGGAGATATTATTACATCACTTACTATACTGACTGATAGGATTTTGCTTTGAATTAAGTTTTCTTCTAATTGGTCCCATAAAAGAAACACATCCTGGTGAGTGGCGTGGAGTCATGGGTTATGTTTTTGAGTGGATGATGATCCCCAGAGTTCCTTAAACTTGGGTTAGCTTCCTGAGGGCCCATAAATAGAGTACATTTAGTGGAATCATCTGGGATCTCTATCTTGGATGCACAAAGGGCACTGCTGGGAGCCATTGAAGATCTTCTTTTTTCAAAAAATAGCTTACGTTTCTTAGGCTATGATTGTACAGCAGGGTTTTCTGATGTGACTTTTATAGCCAGATCAATTGTTTTACTCTAACTATTAGACTCGTGTGTCAAGGTGCCACTGATGGGTCACTGTTTATGGGGAACTGGGATTTGACCTGTGATTTCATTTTCCTAGGTGAGGAATATCCCTCCACCAAGGCAGATGGACACCTTCTCAGTATCTTAGTCTTAGATAGCTGCTTAGAGCATTGAGAGGGTTAAGTATGTGTAACAGGTGAGACTTGAACCCAGATCTTCTTTACTTCAAAGCCAACTCTCTTCCTATTCCTTTCCTCTCCCCCTCTTTCTCTCTTTCCCTCCATCCCTCCCTCCCTCCCTCTCTTCTCTCTTATAACACTCTGCTGCTAGCCTATATTTAACATTGCTGAATATTGTAGAACACAGTGGTTATTAGTTTAAGAGTTCCTATGGCTATTCAGTTATTTAAAGATTGGTTGTCTTTCATGGGAACTGATGCACATTAAGGGAAATTACTCTAATGAGTACCACTAGATGTTGGTGATGATGTTTTTAAAAGCTTTGTGGGGAACCAGGGTACTTTGCAAGGTGGCAGTGTATGGTATAAGGAATTCAGAAGCATGAAAATAGTAATAAACTTATATAAAACAGGTATAAAACTCAAACTGTAAGTGGCCCACAAACACCTCAAGTGCCCCAGGAAACAGATGAAAATATAATTGAGAAACATTTGACAAAATAAATAAAAACAATACAATATAGATAATGTTAATTTGTGGTTTTCTAAGTCAATATGTGAGCCAGACATTTCTGTTTGTATTTGAATTTGACACCAATCATGTACAGTGCTTGATACATTGATATATTGTAGTATTCCCAAAGATGCATCCATTAATAGGATCATTTAGGAATTAATAAACTACCTGAAAAGGGCAGTTAGGTGGTGCGGTGAATAGAGTGTTGGGCCTGGAGTTATCTTCCTTAGTTCAAATCTGGCCTCAGACACTTGCTGGTTGTGTGACCCTGAGCAAGTCACTTAACCTTGTTTGCCTCAGTTTCCTCATCTGTCAAATGTGCTGGAGAAAGTAATGGCAAACCACTCCAGTATTGTTGTCAAGAAAACCCCAAATGGGATCATGAGGAGTTGGACACAACTGAAATGATTGAGCAACACAAAAAGAAACTACCTGACAATGATAGTGATAATGACCAAGGAGCTAATGAGAATATTTTGTTGTTTTCTGCCAAGAGAATGACATGACAATGCTAGTAGGCAAAGTATCCTCTGGAGCAGTTTATATAGCACCCCTGACAGCTCATGGCATTGGTGATAGCATCATTTCTAGGACACGATGATTCAGGGACCGTATCACCTTTGTTATACTTGCAACTTGGCATAGCAGCTCTTGAAGACAATCCATTGAATTATGGAGCAGTTGTAAAATGAGTCAGCAGAGGGAATCTACCCACAAAATGGCAGATCCCTGGATTACTTTTGCATTTGTCTTCTTGGACAAGATCAAGTAAGGTAATGTTTGTGAAGATGTTTTGAATACCTATAAAGCTCTAGATGAATATTTTCACCAATCTTCCTTCTATTTAAATTAAAGTTATTTTATTTACCCATATGTTTTCTGGGAGTTATACATTTAAGTAGTAGTCATGACTGCCTTTTTTATTGGTTGAGACATCCACAGACAGAGATCAGGGAGGATTCTCTTCTAGGCTTGGGGAACAATGTAAATTGAGACATGGAGACATAAGAAGGCAGGATGAGCAAGAGTTGAAATCTAGTTCAATAGGGATCATCTCTTTAGCACATCTGCTAGCAAGCAGTGGAATTCCCTGTCCCATTCTCCATGGATTATCAATGGATGATCCCATAGGATCATCCCATTGGATCATCCTTGTAATACAGGTCCTGATTAGAGTGTGAATAATAAATCCCATGCAGTAGTGGCATCATTCAGATTGGCACTGCATATTTCTATCGGGTTGTAATAATTCAACACATTTTACACAGATATAACTTAAAATAGAGCAAATTCCAAGACATGCCACCATTTCATGGGATTCATTATTAGAACTAATTGAGACTGATCTACACTAGTTTAGTTGGAATATTTTTTGTTGTTGTTCAGTTGTTTTTCAGTTGTGTCTGACTCTTCATGACCCCATTTGGGGTTTTCTTGGCAAAGATACTGGAATGCTTGTCATTTCCTTCCCCAGCTTATTTTACAGATGAGGAAACTAAGGCAAATAGGGTTAAGTGACTGGCCCAGGGCTACACAATTAGTAAATGTCTGAGGCCAGATTTGAACTCAGGATGAATCTTCCTGTTTCCAAGCCCTCTGCTCTATCCACTGCACCACCTAGCTACTCATAGTTGGAGCATAAGAATCCACAAAGAGGAAATAATATGAGACAAGGATGGATAAGTAGGTGAGAGTAAGATTATGTAGGGCTCTGAATACCATGTTAATGTTATTTTTATTTTTGTCAGGAAACTGTGGGCCATTGAAGTTTTCGAGCAGAAAAGGAGAATCATATTTGTCATATATTAAGGAATTACTAAGGTATCAGGATGGAGGATGTGAGGGAATAGACCAAAGTCTAGGACACCAGTTAGGTGACTGTTACAGTAGTCTAGGTTAGAGATGAGGACCTAGACTAAGGCAGTTATCATAGGAATGGATAAGAAGTTAAAATGGAGGTTTGTGAGGTTAAAAATGGAAGAACTTACTGACTGATTGGATGTGTGGCTTTAGAGGAAGAACAGAATGAAAGCCCACTCCAAGATCCTGAGTGTAGGCAGGATAATGGTACAATTATCAAACAAAATAGAAGTTGGGAGAGGCACTGGTTTGGGGGGAAGATAATGAACTTAGTGGTCAGCCTGTTGAGGTTCTAGGTTGTTGGCAGTATGCTAGCCAGGTTAATACAACTATCAGAGAGTTGGAAATGCAGAACTGGCCTAGGTGAGAGGATGGAGATGGGGTTTTCTCATCTGAAAATTGAGAAGGGTGGACTAAATGACCTTTAGGATCTCTCCCAGCTCTGAATCTATGCTCTTATGATCCTACGACATACATGACTTTGGGTAGGTCATAGAACCTCCCTGGGTCTCTATTTTCTTACCTGTAAGGTGATATGTTTGGACTAGACAATATGCAAGATCTTCTATGGTTCTGGCTGCCCCTCTGATTCTGGCAAGTACGTGGAACATGCCAGCATATGGTATAAAGCCACACCTGGAAGTCTTTTCATGGATGCTCAGATAAAAATAATTGCAAAATAGATCAAATGGATCTGGGAAGTTGGCACATATCTGCACATTTATAGCACCATCGAATAAGCATATTTATTTCATTTACTGGGAGAAGATGAGGAATTAAAATGTCACAGGCCAATGAAATGCTTTATCTATGTTAATATGGAAAAAAAAAGTAACTCCAAATTAGCTATTGTCATTCCTGGTGAGGATCAGATCAAACTAGAGAGGAAAAAAGCTAAAAAATAACAAGGCAGGGTAACTAGGTGCATTGCAGATAGAACACTGAAGCTTTGAGCTAAGAAGACCTGCATTCAAATCTAGCCCCAGATATTTACCAGCTGTGTGACCTTGGGCAAGTCACTTAACCTCTATCTACCTCAGTTTCTTCATCTGTAAAATGAAGATAATATTAAGTAGCACCTAACTGTCAGGGTTTTTGTGAGGATCAAATGAGATAATATTTGTAAAGCAGTTGGAAAACTTTAAAGTGCTATATAAGTGCTAGCTATTATCATTATTTCTATTTCGGAAGTGTATGTGGGTATAACAGGTGGAAAGGGGTAAATGAACAAAGAGATAAGATTTGTGTCATTAGCAGCACAGCTTTAGTGGGGAATTAAAAGAGAACTGGAATCATTAGCCTACCCTATAGACCCCCCCGCCCAACAAGGGCCACTTGCAAGGATAAAAGAGAAATGAAGTAGAGCTGTCTAGTACTTTTGAAGGGCAGCTAGGTGGCACAGTGGACAGAGCACCAAGCCTGGAGTAAGGAAGACCTGAGTTGAAATCCAGCCTCAAACACTTATTAGTTTGTAACTCTGGGCAAATCATTTAACCTTGTTTGCCTCAGTTGCCTCATCTGTAAAATGACTTGGAGAAGGAAATGGAAACCACTCCCATATTTTTGCCAAGAAAGCCCCACAGAGGTCACAAAGAGTCAGATACAACTGAAACAACTGATCAGAAACAAGAAGTTAGTACTTTGACATCTTAGAGGAAACTAAGGCAAACAGGGTTAAGTGACTGGCGCAGGGTAAGTAGTACACAGCTAGTAAATGTCAGGTTTTCTTGACTCCAGGTCTAGTGCTCAGTCAGGCCTTCAAAGCCACTTTGTAATTTACCTTATCAAAGTAATATAAGAAGTAATTAAAACCAATTTAGTTGAGTAATTGGAAAGACCCCAGGACACCAGAACAATGTGAGTAGAGACCCTGATACACTAGTCTTACCTAGGGAAAGAGGCCTTGAAACTAGATAAGTAGATGTGTCCAACACTGGGAGACCTTTGCATATAATCCTGTTGGATTAGAGATACTAGATAGCAGTTTATGCAAGGGAGACCTGAGGATGACATGAGACCCAGGGCCATTGCCTTGGGGGAAGAAGGCAGGCCAGGCTGGTGAGTAGCTCACTTACTGTGCGGAGGAAAGATGCATAGAGTGGTAGCTTTGTATTTTAACTAATTATTCTAGCTAATCAGGTGTTGAGAGTAGTTATTTCTACAACACAGAAAGGGCACTAGTGCCATCAAATCTTAAACGTAACAAATTGAACAACTGAATACTTTAAAAATAATTTAAAAAATTTTTGTGCCCTCTAAATTCTGGTGCCCTAGGAGTAAGCCCTAGTCACTTTTCCCTAGTTATGGCTTTGAAATGATGTGTTTTAGGAATTCATTGGTAGTTCTAGGAAGCATGACCACTCCTAGGACCTGTTGAGTCACATGATCAATAAGCAGATGGGAGTTCTGAAGTCACATAGAGGGGAGCACCAGTGGGGAGAGGATCCACATTTTTCCCAGAGTCAGGCAGGGTTTACAGTTCCTTCTGGATATACTCTATGCTCTAATATTTAACATTTGTAGACCATCTGCAAAATTCAAGTAGCACTGGAAGTACAATTATAGGATATTGTTGAAAGGAGAATAAAAAGTTTCTCTTATCAATACACATAGTGAAATTGCTCTTCCATTATGCAGGAAAAGAGATTAAAAAATTGACATTTTCTAACATGGCTTACTCTATGGAGCAGCTGAGAAGTACTTCTCCTTAGACCAGAAAGAATTCATACTTTACAGCCATTCCTGACTTAATTATGCATACCTATGACAGTGGTCACTGAGGTAGGTGTCAGTATTTCAAAGCTAGCTGGCAAAAAGCTATTTCTTGCTTGGAAATTGCAGCTTATTCAGCTATATGTAAAGTTCAGGTTGAGGTTAGAAAGCAGGAGAAATGACCCGGCTTGGTTCAAGCCAAAATATTCTCCTATTTCTGACCCAGACAGAAGAGAAGATTGAGATCTTGTAAGCTATGTGCTTTGGTTTAACTGTCATTCACAACATGCCAAAATGGCGGAAAGTTCTTCACACATGGACTAAGAGAAAGCTGGAAACATTTTGTAAGAAAACTCTCTGTTTTCTTTGTCTCAATTAAGAAATCCTAAAGTTGTAATGAAGATTTATTGCTTCTTTTGGAGGTTAAAGAGTGAATGGGTCAGGGCAAGGTCTGGGAAAGATGGTTTTCAGCTTCAAAATAAAAATTAACTTGTTACTTGGCAAAAATGTAAAGTTAGCCATTGCAAAAACTAGTTAAATGCTTACTGACAAATGTAGATAGTTTTCCTTAAGAGTCAGAGATCTTTGTAACTGATTAACCAGTTGGTTCTCAGGTCTAGTAAGAAGCCATTTTCTCTGTGTTTTTGTTTAACTCCTGGCTTTGTTTTCAGAGGCTACATATTAATGCTTAAAATCAAGGGAGTTCATATGGGAAGCTTTCTTTTCCTTTGGTGTTTTAGTAAACCACAAACTTAGTATGAGGCAACAATGGGATGTAGCAACTGAAAGAGCTAATGAGGCCCCAGGCTGCAATAAAGGAGACAGAGTGCTTGTGCTGAGGAAGGGATAACCTTACTGTACCTCCTTGGGCACATCCCAGCTAGATGACTTTGTTCAGTTACAGACTATATCATACGATTGAAGAAGGGAGGACTTGGGAGGGGGAGAATGATAGCCTTTAAATATCTGATGAGGCCTATCAAAGAGTCTTGTTCAACTTGCCCCTGGAATACAGAACAGAGACCAAAGGGGTGGAAGCTATGGGGATTGAAATATCCATTAAGCATGAAGACCAACTTCTCAACAGTTAGGAGGAGGCCAAATGAGATGGGCTGCTTCAGACAAGTGAGTTCTCTACCATAGAGGTTTTCATGTACAAGTTTCATGATCACTTGTCAATACTGTCAATGGGATTCATGATTTGGGCAAGGGTTGGAGTAGATGACCTTTGAAATTCCTTCCAACTCTAAAATGTATGATTCCATACAAACAAGTACTTACAACAAAATGCTACAAATACCACTGTATTGTCTGAATCAATAACCTCATAGATAGCAAATAAACACTTAAATTTCAGGGAGAACTTTCTCAAGTCAAACATATGCATTCAGTTAGCACTTCCCTTTGCCACCTGCAATAAGTTACCTTCTTGGAATTTGTAATTTTCAGTAATGTCATGCTGTCCATCTCCACCAATTTCTTTGGTCACAATTAATTTCCCAATGTGGGTTTTATCAACAGATTCAACCAAATGAGTGGTATCTTTTTTGACTGTAATGTACACAAGATCACTGTTGACCTGGAAAAAAAAAAGAAGAGAGCAGCATATCATCTATTGTCTTGGCCACCAAAATCTTTGTTTCTATTAGGTGTAGTTATCAAAATAATCTTAAAGCCCATTTATGGAGATTCATTATCAACACCTTTAACATATCAACATATTGTCCCTTCTTCAACATTGGCACAGAACGCAGAAGCTAAACATTTCCATGTTTTGATTTTTTTCTCGCCTCATAGAAGACTAATATTTTACAATCAAATAATTTCCATAAAAGAAGAGTAGGAACAGTCTAGGAGGAATTCACACAAAACCTTAGTAGCCTACAGTTTGGCCATAATATTTGGGGGATCAAAAGTGGGATGGCAAAATGATGATGGTCAGTCCCCAAGCTTTCCCCAAGACCAATTTTATTACTCATATTGCTGAAACCTATGCTTGGTCCATGAAAGCTTAGCTCCAGAGGCTATATTATAGACAGAATGTTAGAGTTGGGAGGGACCTTATAGATCAACTGATCCAACCCTTTCATTTTTAAAAAAGAGATTTTTCCTTTATTGACAGCTTTTGTTTGTACATTGCTTAGATTTCTAGCTATTTCCTTCCCCTTCCCCCATCCTGGAAAGCAATACCTTATAACAAAGAATTTTTTAAAAAAAGACAAAAGAAAACAAAGGGAAAAAAATCATCAAAACTGATCAATACATTAAAAAAAAATCTGACATACACCTATGAACTCCCCCACCCCCACCTCCACAAAGGAGCAGCAGCTACATGGGCCTAGTGGATAGATGACTGGACCTGGAATCTAGAAGACATGTCAAATCCACCTTCAGGCACTTGCTAGATATGCTAGATTTAACCTCTGTCTGCCTCAATTTCCTTGACTGTAAAATGCTAATAATTATAACACTTAACTTCTCAGGTTGTGGTGAGGATTAAATGAGATAATATTTGTAAAGTACTTAGCCTACTACATAGCAGGCACTTAAATGCTTATGCACTTCCCCAATAGAGAGTCAGAATGGAGGTGCCTTCTTACATATCTTCTGTGGAGCCAAGCATATTCTTTATAATTTCACGCATTTCATTTTCAATTTTTTTGGCCAATCCCCTCATTTTAACAGATAACTGTGGAGGAGAGAGATTCAATTACATGTTCCAGGTCACACAGCTCCTCAGGAATAGATCTGGGACTAGAATCAAAGCCTTTTCAGAGTTGGAAGAGATCTCAGACGCTATCTAGTTCAACCTCTGGATTATATCCCTGACAAATGGTTATCTAACCTTTCTGCAAGACCTCTGGTAATAGGGAATCTACCTCCCAAGGTAGGAGATTGTGCTTCTGGAGTGATTTCAGCATTAGGAAACATCTCTGTACATCCAAGGAAAAAATGCAGTGCACTGTACCTCTATGCAATTTCTACTCATTGTTTCTATATTTGCCTGATGGTACAAAGAAAGTTTAATTCAATTAAATTATTTGTTAACAACTTTTACTCTATACCTCCTGGGTTTCCTGATTCCCAATGCTCTTTCAAGATGTTTCACAAAGCTTCTCTTCCCTTCCCTTCTCTTCCTTTTACCCAAACAATTACCACCCAACATGCATATACACACAACACACACACACACACACACACACACACACACACACACAAACATAACCACTTGGGAACTAAATTAGTAGGATCACATTGGTTTCAGAAAAAAAAATAAGGCAGTTTCTCTTTTTTGGGTTTATGACACTCATTACCCATACGAGATTGTCCCTATATGTGACACTCAGTGTCCTATAACTCCGCCTCAGCAGGATTATCACCTTTTTAGTTCTGAACACTATGCTTTTGATAAGATGGCATTAATTTTTTCTGGCTGCCATACCACACTGTTGTTACCTATTGAGTTTGCAGTTCCATAAAGCCATATATCCTTCTCAGATGAATGGCCATCTAGCCACATGTACTCCCATCTTGTGTTTATGATGTCAATTTTTCAAACCCAAGTGCAAAGCCTTACATTAGGCCCATTGTTCTACCCTGTCAGATCCTTAAGTTCTTCAGCCAAAGTGCTAGATATCCCTCAGCACTGTGGTATGTACAAATTTGAATAGGAGGACTTTTATGTCTGGATTCAAGTAATTGAACATAAAAATGTTGAACAACACAACTCCAAGCACAGATCCCTGGGGCACACCACTATAAATTCCTTTCCAAGGTGAAATTGAATCAGTAATGATATTTTGGGTCCAACCATTCAACTGTTGCCAAATCTGCCTAATTATAATATCATCTAGCCTCTATCTATCAATATTTTCTAAAAGAACAGCATGAGAGATACTGTCAAATGTTCTATTAAAATTTAGAGAAACTATGTCTGGAATTTCCCTGATCTACCAATCTAGTTCTAGCAAAAGCAGAAACGAAATTTGTCTGACAAGACTAGCTGTTGATAAGGCTTTTTGTGATAACTATTTTCTCTTGTAGATGTTTACTAACTATCCTTTAAATAATACCTCCCAGGATCTTCTTAGGAATGGAAATTAGGCTCACTGCCCTGCAATTTGCAGACTCTACTCTTTTTATATCTGAAAATTGAGACATTTGCCTTTCTTAATCCTGCAATATCTCTCTTGTTTTGTATCATCTTTCACAGATCACTAACGGTATCTCAGCAGTTGCACCTGTCAAGTCATTCAGTAGATAGCACAGTGGATAGAACGCTGGGCCTGGAGTCCAGAAGAATTCCATTCAAAGTCAGTCTTATACACTTACTAGCTATGTGACCCTGGACAAGTCTTAACTCAACCTCTGTCTGTCTGAGTTTCCTCAAACTATAAAATATGGATAATAATGGCACCTACTTCCCAGGGTTGTTGTGAGGACAAAATGAGATATTTGTACAGCTTTTTGCAGACCTTAGAATACTACATAATTGAGGAGGGATGGGAAGGAAAGGGAGAAGAAGGGAAGGGAAGGGAAAGAGCACATTCAATTGGGAGGTTGATTCTTGGAAGTTCTCTTTAAAGATTTATGCATCCCCATGAAGTTCCTCTTTTGGGATCATTGAATGGCTTTTTATTCACTTTTTAGCCACCTGAACATCCCTCAAAAATGGGTAGCTCTCAGATTCAGGACTTTGACAAAGTGTGAAATGCTGCAGATCATTACTGAGAGCTTCAGTGGATGAGAGAGAAGGAATTCTCATTTGTGAATCTTGACAGCATTCTCAACAATCAAGATCTGGATTTAATAATGACACTGTGTGTTGACATTAGCAGTGATTAAATCAATTTGTTCCTTGGTGGGAAGTCCTGTCTACCTCTCCTTGGTAATAAAACATAATAATAATAATATAAGGATTTGTGAAATATAGAGCATAATTTCCATCAAGAGATTCTTATAATATCATAAACTAGAAGAATGCAACCAGGAGGTTTGTGTAAATCAACAAAAGCCCAAAGTGACATTATGGAGATAGTGTTCCAAATATGTCTATCCTTCTGAAGAGCCTCAACTATAAGAGGCCCACAAAGAGGAAAATGCAGCAAAAATACTTTTTTTAGAGGACATAGTGAATACTTAGAAAATCATTGAACTTTCTGTCTCTGCCACTCATTTGGCAGTTCGTCATGCACTGACTCATGACAGCCCTTAAATTATTATTCTGATGTAATGGGTATTCTCAGGTATTAATGTCCTCAGTCTTGCTCCCACTGGTGAGGCCCATATTTTGTCACTGAAGACATTGATTCAGTCACAGATAGGGTCATAGATCTAGAATCGGAAGGTACTGTTGAGGAAATCTAGCCTAATCTCTTAATTTTACAGATGAGGAAACTGGGGTCCAGAGAGGTTAAATAAATTGCCCAAGGTCACACAAATAAGTAAATGGTGGAATTGGGATTTGAATCAGGTTCAGCACTTTTTCCTCGGCACCATAGTGGTCCCTCCCCTCCCTGCTCCAAACCTCAACCCTCCCAATGATTCTTTCTTTTTGTTTTTGTCTTTTTGGGCAGTATGAATTGCATGGTATTTAGAGTCAGACGACCTGCACTCAAAATCTGGATCTGCTACTTACTACCTCGGGCCAATCTCTTGACCCCAAAGGCCTCACTTCCCACAGTATAATGGCAATATAATACCGATATAATATCATATGATCTCTAAGGTCCCTTCCTCTTCTAAATCGAAGACCTCATTGATCCTAGCTGTCTTTGATACTCTATAATCCTTATTGCCTCCTTGATGAGTATCTTTTTCTCTCACAGTAATGGCTTCATACTGAAGAGTCCGGGTTAACCCACTGAGAAGATGTGAACTTCTCTTATCCTGGGTACTTGCCCCATTTTGAGAATGACTGATGCAATAATTTATAGTTTATACAGTTCAGTTACCTGGGGGCCTGGCCTTTAAAAGGGGGCTGGAGAGTAGGGCAGAGAGGATAGGGGCTACCCCAAGTTAAAGACTGGGTTCCTTAGAGAGGAGGACCCAAGTGAGCCTTCCAAGGAACTAGGTGCTTGAACAACCAGAGTTTCGGAAGCTCCAGAGTTAATTTCCCGGTGGGACAAGAAGACTCTGACTGGCTTCTGTTTGTACCTCCAAGCCCCTGTCATTACCGCTGTGTTCTCCATCTTCCGTTTAAAGAGCAAGCCAACTGGTTGTGACTCAATCAATCATCATTATCAAGGGAGTGTCAGTTAGGTAACAAGCCCCTGGACCAGGCAGGAATTCACATTTTATCAAGGAGTTAACATCATTAAGGAAATTTCAATTCTAGTTTAGGGGACCAATACCAGATATCAGAACAAAGTCCAATGGGGCAACAAAGATCCAGGCTGATGTGGGGATACAGCCAATACATTCACCCCATATATTGTTACATAACTTTTGCTTATGTCTTAGTTTACTAACTAGATTGTGGACTTCAGCGGGGTAGAGACTGAGTCTTGTACTTTTTTGAAATCCCTTTTCTCCTCCATACTAGCTAGAGTAATGTTGTACCTATAGTAAGGTTTTGCAGGGGTTTTTTTGTTATTGTTTCTTGTATTTATTTTGTTTTTGTTTTTTATTTTAGGGTTGTTTTTTGTTTTATTTAGTTTGTTTGTCTTTTGTCTAGTCTCACATATAATGGATTGAGTACCATGCCTGGAATCAGGAAGATCTCGGTTCAAAACCAGCCTTAAACACTAACTAACTTTGTGATCCTGGGCGAGTCACTTAATCCCTGTTTGCCTCAGTATGCTCATCTGTAAAAATGGGAATAACAATAGCACCTATCTCCTAGAGTTGTGAAGATCAAATGAGATAATATTTGTTTAAAAAAAAGTGCCATATAGATGTTAGTTATGATAATGATGAAGTTGGGAACTTCCAGTGAGAAAAGTCTCCCCACCAATGCAGACTGAAACTCCTCTATGACTTGTAGTTTTAGAGAATTGCTTGGGGCACTGAGAAATTAAATGCTTTGCTCCTGGTCACAGAACCAGTAAGTGTCAAGTCAGAGCAAGACTTGAACTGAAGTCTGCCTGAATCCAAGGCTGGCCATTTATCCACCATGCCTACCGATTTACATACCTGTAGGAGCATACGCTTACTCCTAGCTTCAGAATTGCCAATTAGGACTTTGCCTAAAGGTTATAGACTGTCTTTCTGATTGTACAGCATCTAGTGTGGTGCAATGTGCTGGCAGGAATATTATTGGAAAGGGACAGCATATGCCTTAGTCTGCCCCCCCCCCCCCCCCCGCTCCCAGCTCTCACCTACCTCTGCAAAAACAAATGGTGAATCGAACTGGAAGCAAATATGGCCATGCTTAACAGCCTGGACAGAAGCAGGACCACAACGGTACATCCCTAAATGAGAGAGCAAAGGAAAAGTTGAATTGTTACCTTCAGGTTACATTAAGGAAACACTAGAAATTAGAGAGATCATCCTTCAAACTACTGAAGTCAGGTCTACATGGACAAGACTTAAGACTTTCTAGTTTATTTTGCACTAATTGGCTCTTCCTGCTTTCCTCCTTCTCAATGGTTGGTTTATGGAAGACTGGGGAAGGTATTTAAAGATGGGGTATGAACCAGGAGGCTCTTTTTCCCCCAGGGAAAGTCCACTCAAATTTGAAAGTTTGGAAAACCTTCCTGTCCTCCCAACTTCTCTATTACTATTGATGGCACCATGATGTTTCCATTCACCCAGAGTCACCCTTAACTCAGTCCTCTTCCTCAGCCTCCATATCCAATCAGGTGCTAAGTCCTGTGAATTCTGACTATAATATGAGATTCAGTCATCCACTCCATTCCATAGTCACTACTACCACCCTAGTTCAGTCACTGATCACCTTTCATGAAGACGAATGCAAAAGCTGTAACAGCTTCCTAACTTCTTCCTGGATCTGGACATTCTCTCTCTCTCTCTCTCTCTCTCTCAGCCATTCTTTACATACTTTGAGGTGCAGAAGAATTACAGAGGAATTCTTCCAAGTGAATAAATCTCATTATCAAAGTATTTAGCACAGTGCCTGACATGCAGCAAGTGCTATTTAAATGTGTTATTTCTTTCCTCTCTTTTCCTTAGACCTTAGATATTACCAATGTTCTACTGAGTTGGTTACCCTGCAGCTCAAATTCTGTCCCTATACTGTTTTTACTTCTTCCATTATCATCTCTACACAGATGATCCTCAGATCTGTATATCCAGCCCTAATCTCATTCTTGACCTCCAGTCTCATATCTCCAACTGCCTGTTATACATCCTGACCAGGAGCTCCCAGAGACATCCTCAGCTTGACATGTTCAAAACTGAACTCATTATATTTTCCCCCAAACCCTCCCCTCTTCCTAACTTTCCTATTCCTTTGGAGGGCAACACCATCTCTCCAGTTATCAAGGTGTCATCCTTGACTCCTCACTCTCTCTCACCCTCCATATCCAATCTGTTGCTGAGTCCTGTCAAATTCTATCTTCACAATACCTCTCATACATCCCCTTCTCTCCTCTAACATTGTCACCACACTGTTAGAAGTATTTATCACCTCATGCCTGGATACTGCAATAGCTTGCTGGTTGGTTTTCCTGACTCAAGTCTCTCCTCTTTTCAGTTCATCTGACATTCAACTGTCGAAATGATCTTCCTAAAGAGTACTCCCCTATTCACAATAAACCCCAATGGCTCTCTGTTACATGCAGGATGACATCTCCTTTGTTCAGTCTGCAAAGCCCTTTAGAACCTGGTCCATTCCTACCTTCTCAGTCTTGCTAGATTTTTCTCCCCTCTGTGTTCTCTATAATCAGTGACACTGGCTTCTTTGCTGTTTCTCACACAAGACGCTTCATCTCTTTACTGTGTGCATTTTCACTGGCTATCTCCATGTCCGAAATGCTTTCCCTCCTCTGCTCTCCCTCCTGGCTCCTTTGTCCTTCTTCATACATTAGCCAAAATCTCATCTTCTTCAAGAAGCCTTTCCTTTTCTCCTTTTCCTTTTTCCCCTTGATGCTGATGCCTTTCCTCTCAGATTACATCTAATATGTATATGTATAAGAATATATGAGTGTGAATGTGTGTATGTACATATACACACATACATGTACACATATACATGCATTTTATATAGATGAGAGAAAATAGGAGGTAATTTCAGATTTCATATTAATGTGTATATATATGTACATATGTATATATATGTACATATATATATACACACACATACATATACAAAAATTAGAGGCAATCTTAGAGGGGAGGTACTACTAGCATTAAGGGGATAAGGAAAGGCTTCTTGCAGAAGGTGAGATTTTTAGCTGAGACTTACATATGTATATACACATGCAGTTATATGGCCTTAGACATTACCAATGTTCCAATGTTCTGCTGAGTTGGTTACCCAACAGCTGCTTCTCCTCCCTGTGTGTATAATATATGCATATATACATATATGTATTTATATACATACATACACGAATACATACATACATATGAGGAATTTCATCCTTTGGACTTGGATTTCTTAGCATCTAACTCAGCACCTGGATTATAGCAGAGATTTAATTTTGTGAATTTATATACACATTTCTTGTTACTATTGTAACCCCTATTTTCATGTGAAATAAAAAAGTTTAAGCCTTTATTCTGGTTTAATTAGAATCTCTGGGAGCCCTTAGTTCCCATCACCTTTTAACACTCATCATGCCCATTAGCCCACATCTACACACTCAAAG